GTAGAGCTGCAGCTTCCCAGGCTCTTGGTGGAAAACCCAGTTTTTTTGTTCTGAAATCGACTCCAAGTCCGACAGTGCTTGCTTTAAGTGTGTGAATTGTAGCCCAACTAAACTTATTCACATAAGAGAAGATTTGGCTTCATAAACAGCAGTGATGGACCACAATCTGAGAGCTACACTTTGCATATTGCAGCTCCTATGAACACCAGCATCAGTGTGGTGGCAGCAGCACTCTAGCAAACAAAAAAAGTGCTGTGCATGGATGAAGAAGATGGGGAGACTGGCTGGAATATTAGCGAGACTGAAGGCTAATGCTAAAAGACCGTCAATTTCGTCTCTGTTCCTGGCCAACATCTGCTCTTTTGATAACAAGATGGACCTTCTTCAACTAAGAGTGAGTGTTTTAGAGGAGATGAGTTACTGTGCTGTACTCTGTCTCACAGAAACATGGCTTAAATAACATGCCGGACTCAGCCTTCCAGCTGGATAACAAACTTTTTTTTTTCAGGTGGATCACAGCCTGCTATCGGGGAACGCATGGGGAGGTGGATGATGTATCTACATAAACAAAGGTTGGTCCACAAATTGTGTTCTGATAAACGGTTTATGCTCCAAGGCTTTAGAACAACCAACTGAAATGTTGACCTCATTATTTAACTTGTGAGCTTACAACGGTGTATATCATTGTTGTCTACATAGCTCTGGATGCTAATGCTAAAGATGCTTGGCAGGAGCTACATGATAACATCAGCTTGCTTCAAAACAAGCATCTGGAGGCTTTTTACATGGGGGCTGATGATTTTAAACACGTAAACCTGCAAGACAGATTTATCAGCATGTCACTATTCGAACATGGGGAAATAAAACACTAGACCATAATTATACTGTAGTGAACTCGGCCTCCGACCAAAACCTGCCTCTGAGGACTTTCATGGGACAGTAACTGTTATTTCATTGATTTGAATCCAGAAATACAAATTAGCTCATCCAGAGACTGTCTAATTGTATCCTGAAGTAATCAATTGAAAGAACACTCTTCTTTTATATTATCATTACTATTTTACAATATCTTGATAATCAAAAGTGTGTTTAGTTCATACCTTTTCTAAATGTTGAAGTGAACCACTCATTTTAAATCAACTGTGAAACAGTAATAATGATTTTTAAATCCTCATTTAAATTAGAAATCAAGTTAAATGTCTATTTACAAAGTAATTATGCATTTTTGATCTTCTGTCTGAATGAGAAGTAGTGATGTCGGTCAAAAGTCAGAAAGGAGTTATTAGAACGAAGTGGATTGTTTTTAAACCTAGCAGATGATAAATAAGAAGCTACTGGCACCTGCTTGCTCTCACTTCTTCAAAACATTTCTTCTGTCTGTACTGGACATTCCTAAAACATTCCTGCTGTTTTCTTGACTTGTAATGACCCTCTGACATCACTAGAACCACCCCCTGTTGGTTGTTTCAACCAATCAGGAAGTCCTGAAGTGACCGGAAGTGAGAACTCTTTAAGAGTCCACACTTCCTGGAACTTCTCAGTCTGTCGAGGTCTCCTGAGTCTTCTGGAGGCTCCGCAGGGTAAACAAACACGCATTTCTCTGACCTTATATGGAGCCGTCAGCTTCCTTGTGTGGAAAAACAATATTCTCCATGGTCTTCTGTCTCATCTTCTGCTCATGCTAAGTCCATTTTTGAAAAATGACAAAATATAACTCCTAAAACTGCTAAAACTTGATGCCACTTTGTTTTCATTTTTATTTACAGAAGAAGAAGCAGAAGAGTGTCTTCAGAGGTTTTTGTGTCGTTTCTTTCAGCAGTTCTTGGTGCAGCGCCCCCACAGGCGAGCGGGGGAATAGGTTAGTTCAACAGGTTGACTTGACTGCACAGTGCAGTGTGAATGCAAACGCACCAGCTCAAATGTAAACAAAAGGTCATGAATATTGGTCCGGAACCGAACCGAGTCTACCGGACTATCTGGTGTGAAAACGACCAAGTGTAGAACCACTAGACTGAGGAACAGCTTCTACCCTGAAGCAGTGGTGGCTGGTCAATAGAGGGCACAAGGGTTACCTTGAAAAAAAACATAAAACAATTTAATAAAAATGAAATAATAAAATAAAAATATTTCGAAATAAATTCATATATATATATTTTAGTTGAGTAAGATAAATATTTTTTATTTGATGATGAGTAAAGTTGTTTTGTTCATCTACGTTTTCTGATTGACATCTTTCAAGGATTCAAGGATTCAAGATTATTTTTTGCCTTTCACATAAAATGGTACATGAGGTGGAGCAAAACTGTGTACACAGGGTCTCAGTTACATCCAACTAGAAACACAAATACAAATTGTAAAGAAAAACAGTAGTAAGATCCAAGACATGAACTAAGAAATATGCTAAACTAAGAATACACTAAGCACTAATAGTACAAAACAATGTGCCAAACAACAGCTGCATGAACATGAGTCTGTGTGAGCAGATGAGGACGAATGAACACAGCAACATAAAATAAATCAGCAGCATGAGATCAGCATCATGGATAATCAGCAGCACATATCAACAATCAAATGGCATTACAGTGACTTTTTCACAGTAATTTTCACAGTGATAATCCTGACTAGGGATTCATGAGTCTAACAGCCTCAGGATAGAAGCTGTTCCTCAGCCTAGTGGTTCTACACTTAATGCTCCTCAACCCCCTGCCTGAGGGGAGTGGGGCAAATATTGTGTGTGTGCTGGGTGAGTGGGGTCCTTCATGATGCAGGTGGTTCTCTTCCTGCATCTGGAGGTGTAGATGTCTGTGATGGTGGGGAGGCTTTTTTAAAATTTATTTTACTTTTTACCAACTGAATAAAATTACCTCATGATGATGGTGGAAAATTAATAGTGATATGTCCTCACTTGGTGCATCAGAACAGAGTATCTGATCAGATTCTGATGCCAGGTCAAATTGCCTTCTTCACTGATATGACCCTCCAGCTCTGGAAAAGGCTTCTTGTACCTTTTCTGATATCAGCTCGAATAAATACATTCTCTCACTACCTCAGGGCAGACATATTCTGCAGCCTGGAATGGTCTCATCATGGGATTTTCATCTCAGTACAGTATTTTTTTTTTTAGATTAAATTAATAGAAATCAACAATCATCTTTAATAATCTATTGTTAGTTCTGCCATGAAGGGAATCACATTAAACGGTTATTCTGGTTCTATGTAATGTGTTAACACCTCCTCACACAAAAAAAATTATTGTTAAAATAGATACTTATAAGAGGTAACTCTGAATTTCGTATGTACTTTTTAAAACATTATTGTCCTGTGTTGCAGAGTTAAGAGGGGGAATTGCAAATACCCTCAATGTATCTGTCCATCTGAGCATGTTGTGTGCATGATCATTTGAAAAATAAGTGAGGTACTGACATCCTTTTTGGTGTGTGGCGACATCTAGGAAATATATTGGTGAAGATTCTTAGTCATCCAGGACAAGATAAATCCAAACGAGTTTAAAAGACTAAACAACTGGACTTCTGTAGCTGAAGACCTTTTGCTTCCCATCCAGGAGGCTTTATCAGTTCAAAACTGAAAATCAGCTTCAGAATGTAAGTCCATCCATCCATCCATCCATTATCTTTACCCGTTTATTCCATTTTGGGTCACGGGGGTCGCTGGTGCCCATGTCCAGCAATCACTGTGCGAGGGGCGGGGTACACCCTGGACAGGTCGCAAGTCCATCACAGGGACACATAGAGACAAACGAGACAAACAACCATTCACTCTCTCACTCACACCTAGGGACAATTTAGAGTTACCAATCAGCCTAACATGCATGTTTTTGGACTGTGGGAGGAAACCGGAGCACCCGGAGAAAACCCACGCATGCACAGAGAGAACATGCAAACTCCACCCAGAAAGGCCCCTGGACCGGGGTTTGAACCAGGGACCTGCTCGCTGAGAGGCAGCAGCTCTACCAGTTGCGCCACTGTGCTGCCCAGAATGTAAGTCCAGTTGTTTTATTTATTTATTTATTTATTACTTTATTTACTTTGTAAATTCTACATCTGGGTGTAAGAAAGGTTCCTTTCAAAAGTTGGCTGCCATGTCAAAATCCAAGATAGCTGCCACCATATATAAGTCTAAGTGCTATGTGTTGTCATCATTGTATGTTCCCATACAATCAGACAAAAATGATTCTCTGCATTTAACCCATCACACCTGAGATGCACCCAGGTGGAGCAGTGGGCAGCTATGTGGGTGCTCGGGGAGCAATTGGGGACTAGGTGTCTTGCTCAGGGGCACCACGGCATGTGGGCATGGCTGGGAGTCGAACCGCAACTTTCCGGTCTCAAGTTGGTTGATCTACTTCTGCACCGTCTCGGCCCCATATATACCAGTACATATATGTATATGTATGTATATATGTTAATTTTGTGAGCTAGCTAACTTGAAAAATAAGCAACGTGCCGACTTTTATTTTGGTATGTGGCTGCGAACAAAAGGTTCCTTTCAAAAATTGGGTTTTCATGGCAAAATCCAGGATGGCTGCCATGCTGGATTTTAAAATATAAATTGAATGATGGGGTGGCTGAAGATTAATCTATAGTGGCCAAGGCCACCATTGGCCACCCTCTGGCTCTGCCATTGCAAATGGCTGTGGATAAAATTACTTCCTCCATTTGCCAGGATCCATCACTTTGCAATACCTATTTTAAATAAAGGATTTAATTTTAGCTTTAAACTGTGCATTAATTTGATAAAAACTATTTTAATTCACTTGATAAACTAATAATTACATTGAATTTCTTGAGCAAAACAAGTAACTTTTTGACATAAAATGAAATCTACATATAAAGTTGATCTGTCTCCATGTTTGAGTGTTTGTGAGCCAAGAACAGATGAATTTACAATCAGGAATAAATTGCAGCTTCTCTTCTAACATAGGAAGTGATTTGTCAGTCCCACCACACTAAACATCCAGTAAAGAGCAACGAGCAGCCTACCTGTTTGTAAGAGGTCCTATGAAGGGGTTGGTGATGAGCTGCACCGTGGCCTTAGAGGCAAACAACATTCCCACTTTGACATTTTCATTGAGCAGCTTGCTGGTGGACTGGGGGCAGTCAGATGAATTCTGTGGCAACTGGGTCCCAACAGAGGTTTTAGGAACCAGGTCAGTGGGCCTGACTGTGGAGTTGGAGCCCGACAGCTTGACGGTGTTGTCGTACAGAGACACAACGCTGCTGAAGGATCCTGGAGTCTCTGGCTGCAGCAGGCTGGTGTTCTTTATCTCTATGTCTGTCGACTCATCCAGGTTGTACAGATAGCTGGGAATTATGGGAACTGGTGGGGAAAATAGAACATAAAACAAAAGTGATGTTCCCTGGCATAAAAAAAAGATCTGAATGTTAGAGGTTCTTTCAGCAAAATCCAAAAAAAAAAAAAGGAATGATATCGCCCACTGCCTATGTTTTAGACTGAGACATCTTGTGTTGAGAAATCACAAAGTTGGAGCCCATTTTGTCAGACCATGATGAAATATTTTGCTAACAGATAGGCAGCGTTGACCCCACGATGAATTAAACAAAAGATCTCTCAAATTAATCAGCCTTAAACTATGTGTTGAGGATCACTGTATGTTAACTTGATGGAGTTACAGACATTTCTAGAATGAGTTGACTGGCAGTTGTCCTGAAGTAAGCTGACTCCAAAAGCAGAGTAGTTGTAGATGAACATCCAATGATTAGTTTCTGAAAGTTTCAGTACAATTTGACCAGTAGTTCATGAGACGTGTTGGTAGCAGACAGACACGTGATGATGAAGACAGACGGTAAAAACGTCATTGTCCACTTCTTAATGGCAGCTGATAAAAAACATGTAAGACTACAAAAAAAAAAAAAGACTGTCTTTGTGTTTTAAGAAAGCAAAATAGGAAATTTCATTGTGCTCCCATGATTAATATTCAATACATTTGAGTTGTTACCATTTTAGATGTAGCGCAGGCATCAGTGGCAACTACAGTCATCTGAGCTGATTCCACAAAATCCAACACTGAATCACATTCTCCTTATTTTAAAGACCAACTTCAGCTTTTTTATTCCATATTTCTGTGACAAGTTCTGCTTTAATTTAGAAACGGTCTTCATTAAAAAACACTCCACACTATCAAAAGGTCTGAGGGTGAAGCGAATTGTGCTGAAATGTTACAAATGATCCAGAAATAAACCCTGTGGACTGAACGGAGCAAAGACATGTTGAAATTTCATGTGACACTTGTTGATATTGAGCTCATTTAATTCTTATTCAGGAAAAATTGACTTATAAATAGAAATTTAAACAAATGTCTTCGTTTGTGCTGTGATTTTGACAGACTTTGAAAATATATACAGCGACAGTAAAAATTTTGTTTTTAAAAGAAAAATCACATTTAGAGGTCCCTTAAAAATACAGAATGCACTAAAATGCTTTTAAAATAATATACAAGATAATGTTTACATAAATCCTGATTCTGAAGCCTAAATCCTCTGGTGCACACAGATTTGGAAGCAAATTGAGATTAATAAAATTAACACACAAGACTGAGTTTCAAAATAATCATATCTATTCAACTCCAAGAGTTGTTTGAAAATCTGTCATTATGTATTGAATTGTACACAGATTCACTCACGGCTCAGTAAAACAATTTTCTGGCAGATAAGACGACTGTGGAGTCTTTTTTCCTCTAACGGAGCAGGACATTTACTGAGAAATGGGACTAATAACATTTCCTCCCTGCCAGAAACAAACCGCGATGAACACTGAGTGAGGCAGTTTTCTGAGAAGTCTTTTGGTTTGGAATTGCAGACAAATCTGTCGTATCATTAGTTGTTTTACAATGAATAAGTCTGGATGCAATAACTTTGAAAAGAAGAAACTTTTCAGGGCTGCAGCAGTGCACCTACCGACCACAGTCAGCAGCATGTTGTCCAGAAGCAGAGCAACAAAAACGATGAAGAGAATAAGTTTCCTGGACTGTCTCTCTTCTCTAAGCCATTTGAGCAAATTAAACTGCCGGAGTGCATCTAGTCCCCCCATGGTGTTAGTCTTGAAAGGAGCTCCGCAGCAGAAACAGGCAGCTCCTCCTGATGACAGAGAAACAGGTTATTCACTCTGAAATCTCCTGAAAGATGCTGGAAGTTAGAATGAAGACAGAAACAGGTCCTACCTCAGGAGAGCAGGGAGCAGCAGCAGTAGCAGCAGAGATGATGGGAGGAGGAGGAGGAGGAGAGGAGGTCTTTCTAATGACTGACGGTGCTGCTGACGTCACTCCACCCCCCACCCTTTATGTTTACATCCCCGTCAGACCTGTCTTCAAACAGTCAAAGTAGAGATCCTGCATCAGAGCACAATAATACAGCTTGAACAAAGAGCCTGAGAGCAAACAGCACTCACTAACTCTGAAACCACATGAGCGTCATGCAGACTGTTGGACTGACCCCCCACCCCCTATGAGAACAAAGCACATATCATGAACACTGAAGAAAAAGATAACAACAATAAAATAATTCAATAATGTTTTTTTTAATAGCTAAAATAGTCTTAATAAACCATAAAGCTCAAGAACAACTTTAACCTTTAAACTGTTGATGAAGATGATGTGGTTCATGCTCTGAAAGGAAATTATTGTCACAAAATAAAAAAATCTTGGTGTTATTTTTGATCAGGACATGACTTTTATCCCCCACATTAAAAACATTACTAGAACTGCCTTCTTCCACCTGCGTAATATCACTAAAATTTGAAACATCTAAAAATGATGCAGAAAAACTGGTTCATGCATTTGTCACGTCTAGACTGGACTATTGCAATGGTTTATTATCTGGGTGTCCAAATACTTCTTTAAAACATCTTCAGTTGATCCAAAATGCTGCTGCCAGAATCTTAACTGGAGTTAGTGGGAGAGATCATATTTCTCCAGTTTTAGTTTCGCTCCATTGGCTCCTTGTCAAATCCAGAATAGAATTCAAAATCTTACTTCTAACCTACAAAGCTCTCAACAACCTAGCTCTGTCTTATATTACAGATCTTATTGTTCCATATTTTCTTAACAGAGCACTTTGGTCTCAGACTTCAGGTTTATTTGCGGTTCCTAGAGTTTCCAAAAGCAGAATGGGAGGCAGATCTTTCAGTTATCAGGCTCCTTTCTTGTGGAACCAACGTCCAATCTCTGTCTGTGAGGCTGACACCTAGTGTTAAAACTAGGCTTAAGACTTTCTTTTTTCCTAAATCCTATAGTTAGGGTCGGCTTGGGTTTACTGAGCTGTCCCTTGGTTGTGCTGCTATAGGCTTAGACTGCTGGAGGACAAACTGACCACAATTTTCACTCTGCTACTGTCTTTACTTACTCTGCTCAACCTGTTTTGTATTTGTAATTATTTTTTTCTATAATTGACGTGTTTTTTGTCTTTCAGATACATCTGGACCTACCATTCTGTGTTCGTCTGTCTCTCCTTCCTGTCCTCTCAACCAGCCGGTCAAAGCAGATGGCCGCTTGTCCTGAGCCTGGTTCTGCTGGAGGTTTCTTCCTTTTAAAAGGGAGTTTTTCTTTCCACTGTTGCCACTGTGCTTGCTCAGGATGGGAGACTGTGATGAAGCCAAGATTCAACTTGTCTGCTGGATTCCTTAGATAGAGAACTTTACTAATTGGCTTTTATGTGAATGTTTCTGTAAAGTGCTTTGAGACAACTTTGTTGTGATATTGCGCTATATAAATAAACTGAATTGAAATGATAACAATGTACCAAAAAGTTGAGTTGTAATAAGAACAAGAAGATTCTTATTTTACTCATTAATGGTGCCATTCTATAAATACTGAGTATATTTATCACCATTTGCGCATTTTTCTTCTGTTTCTGTCTTGACCTTTGAGTTGCAATTCTTCCTGCAGCTTTGGAAAAACTAAAAAAAAAAGCATCAAATCACTTGGCTTGGTCAACAATAAATGACTTTTTGTAGCAGACATTGTACAGCTCAGGCAAAATATTAAAAATAAAATAAAATTTTGATTAATTTTAATCTTTGTCAGAATGTCTGACCACACCACCCAAGTTTGAGCAGATTTACACTGGCTGCCTGTTCATTTCTGTGTGGATCTTTACTAACTTTTAAAAATGTAAAATGGTGTGGCACTCAACTATCTAACTTCTTGACTTTTATAATCCAGCAGAACACTTAGCTTCTTTAGCCAGATGCTGTCAGTGCAGCAGAGAGATAAATTAAAGCACACAAGGGTCAGATTTTTGCAGTGGTAGCCCCCAGACTCTGGACCAACCTGACCCTTGATATTTGTACAAAAGAATCTATACAATCTTTTAAATCCCACCTAAAAGCTTCTTTACACCAGATTTATGTTCAATTTGAGTTCAATCAGATATTTACGTTATGGAGGTCCCTTGTATGTCCATTGAGTATGTGATTTAAAAGTATTAGATTGTTTGTATGTTGTGTTTTTATAATTTGCAAAGAAAAACAAAAATATTTTTCACTGTGAAGCCCTGATTTATGAATTACTGAAAACCTTTTTTTTTTTTTTTTTTTTTTTTAGATCAAGCTGTTATTCATATTGCTGTGAAAATGGTGACACCTGGTGGTAGAACTGGGGTCTGACATGTTAAAAAAGAACCACATGACTGATAATACAATGAAAAGATGAGAGTGGTTAGAGTTGAAAGATGTTATGTTGTTTATTTGTTAGATGCAGGTTTACAGAAGGTCAATAGTGCAATGAAATGTTCAGGATGAGAAGAACCGATTTGACTGGCAAAAATAAAACAAACAAACAAAAAAATCAAGAAATACTAAATCAAGCAATAAGGGTACAAAATAAAGTACCAAAAAGTGAAAAGTAATAATAATATTTACAAGTTCCAAAAGAAATATAGCAAACTACAACAGGGTAGAATATAACGGTGCAAGTAGGATGAATTTGTATAAATAAGTATTTCTCAGGTAAAAAAGGTTGTAAGCTCAATCATCCAGGTAGATAACAACGAAAAATTGTTGTTAAAAATTGTTAACTCATTATCTACCTGGATGATTGAGCTTACAACCTTTTTCCTGAACCACTTTGGCCTTGGTTGTCCTCAGGTTGTTTCTGTGAGTAGCAAGTTGGTCATCTTGTTCTTCTTCTGTCAACTTTTCCCTCTTCGGGTATCCACAGGGAGTCATCCTCCTCCATCTCACTCTGTCCTCACTCCAACTACCTCCATGTCTTCTACAACTGCATCCATATATTTCCTCTTTGTCTTTTCCTGGCAGCTGCATTTCAAACATCCTTCTACCAATATACCCACTGTCCCTCCTCTGGACATGTCCAAACCATCTCAGTCTGTTCTCTCTAAAATTATCTCCCAGTTGTTCAACCTGTGCTGTACCTGTGATGATCTAATTCCTGAACTTTTCCATCCTTGTCACTCCTAAGGAGAACCTCAACATCGTCATTTCTGCTACTTCCAGTTCTTTCTCCTGTCTTTTTGTCCATGTCTCTGGTGCCAAAATCTTTTAAACATGCTGCTGTCTAGCCTCTCCTGAAAAAAACTAACCTTGACCCCTCAGTCGTGTCCAACTACAGGCCTGTCTCCAGACTCCCATTCACACCTAAATTACTGGAAAAAAATAGTTGAGTCTCAGTTGAAATGTTTTTTGGAGGATCACGGTATCCCAGAGTTATTCAAATCTGGCTTAAAATCTCTCCACAGCAAAGAAACTGCTCTACTGAAGGTTCTTAACAACATTTTTCTAGCCACTGATGCATGTGATTCTGTGCTGCTTGTCCTATTGGACCTTACATCTGCTTTTGATACCATCAACCATGAGATCCTCATTTCTAGGCTGGAGCAGTGGGTGGGCATCACAGGGTCTGCCCTCAAACAGTTTAGGTCCTACCTCTTTGACAGAACCTTTTGTGTCAGTATCAAAGATTTCAGTTCAGCATCGGCAGCGCTTCAGTGGGGGGTACCACAGGGGTCCATCCTCGATTCCCCTTCTCTTTTCTTTATACCTATTGCCACTAGTCGCTATTTTCCGCAAACACAACATATCCTTTCATTTCTACGCGGATGACTGTCAATTTTACTTCCCCCTGAGGCACAGAAGCACATGCTCTATGCAACTTCTTCTTGACTGCCTGGCTGGCATCCGGGACTGAATGGTTTAAACTTCTTAAGTTTCAATGAGAAGAAGTCTGAAGTCATGCTGTTCCATCCCAATGGCACATTTATGAAACACTGCATTGACCTTTTTTCTCTAGCTTTGTTAGAGAAACTAAGAGTCACTAATCTGGGAGTGATAATGGACCCTTCCTTGAAACTTAACAGTCACATAAACATGATTGTTAAATCCTGTTTTTTTCAGCTGAGACGGCTGTCTAAGCTGAAAGTCATACTGTCCAAAAAGAATCTTGAGACAGTGATCCATCCATCCATCCATCCATTATCTTTACCCGCTTATTCCATTTTGAGTCACGGGGGTGGCTGGTGCCCATGTCCAGCAGTCACTGTGCGAGGGGCGGGGTACACCCTGGACGGGTCGCAAGTCCATCACAGGGCCACATAGAGACAAACGAGACAAACAACCATTCACACTTTCACTCACACCTAGGGACAATTTAGAGTTACCAATCAGCCTAACATGCATGTTTTTGTTCTGTGGGAGGAAACCGGAGCACCCGGAGAAAACCCACGCATGCACGGAGAGAACATGCAAACTCCACCCAGGAAGCCCCTGGACCGGGGTTTGAACCAGGGACCTACTCGCTGAGAGGCAGCAGCTCTACCAGTTGCGCCACCGTGCTGCCCGAGACAGTGATCCATGCATTCATAACATCCAGGCTCGATTTCTGCAATGCACTTCTGTTTGGAATCAGTCAGTCCTCCATTGCATGTCTACAACTGGTCCAAAATGCTGCAGCCCAATTTTTAACTGGTACAGGCCATAGAGAGCACATTACACTAGTTTTGGCCTCCCTGCACTGGCTTCCCATTCACCTTCGGATCCAGTTCAAAATACTCATGTATGTTTTTAAATCACTGAACAGTTCTGCCCCATCC